ATTAAGATGAGTTAAACTATATAACCTGGCTGTTTCCTGGATGCTTTTGCCTTCGCACTTAAGAGACTTTCCGAGTCTTTCCCTGCTTTGTGCCTTTCTTGGTTGAAACCCTAATAAAAACACACATTGGAGAGCACAGTAGAGCACAGACAGAGTTCTGACGCCTGTTCCTCTGAAGATGCCGGCCACAGAGACTGGCAAAACGTTAGGAAGAACAACCTTCAGAACATGGCCAAAGAGCCCGAAAAACCCACAACAACCATCAGTTCCAACATTGTCATGAAAAAAGCAAACGGAGGACTAACCATTGTTGCCATGATCATACACAACGACATACAGGAGGCTGAGTGAAAATTATCCAGCATCGTATTTTATAAGCTTCTGCCCACAGACATTGCTGATAAATATCAAAGATGTAGGCAACCTGATTTTTAAAAAATTGCTATAGATATAAGGAATGAAATTCATATGGACACACCATAGGAGACTTGAAAAGGCATCTTCTATCTATTACACAAGCTAGACAACCTTACTGTAGATGCCCCACTGCAGAGGGCACTGGAAGCAACACTGTTGGATGTCTGGCTGCATAAACTCAATTCCCAGACCATATGGCATCAATACTCCAAGCTACATAAAGAACACCACTGCCCTCTTGCAAACACTACCATCGAATCACAACCTCCTGGACAGCACCAACCTGGCTACTACGAATGTAGAGGAAATCTCTAATCCAAGGATAGACTACAAGCCATTGAACATGCCATTCCATATGAAATCAATGAACATGGAACCACCAAACATCATCATTTGGTTGGCTGGCTGGCTGGCTATGTGCCATCAAGTCAGAACCAACTTATCGTGACCCTAACAGGGCTTTCAAGGTATGTGAGATATTTAAGGAGTGGTTTTACTAGTTCCCAAGTGAGTTTCCATAGTCAAATGAAGATTCAAACCCTGGTCTCCAGAGTCCCGAGTCCCTCACTCCATCCACTACACCACTGGTTCTTAACCTTGGGTTACTCAGGAGTTTTGGACTGCATCTCCCAGAAGCCTTCACCACCAGCTGTCCTGACTGGGGTTTCTGGGAGTTGCAGTTCAAAAGCATCCGAGTAACAAAGGTTAAGAACCACTGCACTACACCACACTGATTACCCACTATGTACTCACCCATAATTATTTCACCTCTGGGAACTGATCCGCAGCACTGCTATGAGAACTCAAACTACACTACAATATGCAAAAAAGTTCACACCTGACCTAGAAAACACTTTCACAGCTCAAGCGTCAAAGAAAAATGTCTTTATTGAAAGCAATACAATCAAGCTGTTCTCCAAGCAGGCGGTCTTTATTTGTGATCAGGGCTAAATAAGGCACAACACACAGGGCCTTAAACAAGTCTCCAAGACAAAAGTCCGTCTTCTCAAAATCACACATCTTTTATACTTGGTCACAACATCCAACCTCCTTTGTTTTTCACATATATATTTCCATATAAGGTTACAAGATTTCCAAATAAAGTCACAAGTACGTATGTGTTGTGGTTAGTACCTTTTTGCATATCCTAACAGCTTCTAAACCCTGCGGTAGTTCCTCATTTCAGTTCCTCATTTCTGTTTCTAATTGTGTCAACCGCTTTTTGCTTAGGCAAAATGCCAAGCCCAAGAGCGGAGACCTCTGTATTTTCACATAATCCCTAATATATCTCAAAATATCTAGTAAATATAGAGTTAATATGTTGATCTCACACAGAAGTTCCTTCTTTAAGATATACTTATGTCATTTTCGGATCTGGACCCATGGAAAGGAAACACTTGAGATGTTCCACCATAACAGCAATACCTTTCATCCCAAGATAAACCTGAGCCTAGTCCTGTTGGTACAACAGATTTGCTTTCTCAACAGAACTGTAAAACTGCAAAGTGGACATGGAAATAACTGTATTATATCGGAAATTTATTTATTTAAAATATTTATATGCCACCTTTCTCCTAAAGGGTCAAAGGTGGCTTGCGTTACTAGGAGAAACAAAGTTAAAAGCCAAATAATAAATCGTTACAATATTTTAAAAAGCATTAGACAAATATATTAAAACCTACACAATAAGAGCAATATTAAAAAATACAAATAAAACACATTAAATGCTTGCTTTAAAAAATCTCCTTGGTCAATGAGTCATTTAAAGAACTGCCTTCTTGAAGAGAAAGGTCTTTATCTGCTTGTACAGTATAAGGACAGCGAAAATGAGGTCGGCCTGGCCTCCCATAAGAGGGAGTGCTCCAGTGTTTGGAAAAGTAACCCTGTGCCCCCACCAAACACCCCTGTGAGGGTGACAGGGCCAAGAAAAAGGACTCTCCTGATTACCTTAATCCCAGATCCACTAATCATTAAAAAATACTTGGGAGCTTTTTCCTTCCACCCAGGACACACTACAAAATCTACTGTCTGCATCTAAACTCTACATGCAATTGCACCATTCAGGCTTCCGAGATAGAAACTTGAAACTCACAGATTTGCAGAAGGCATTCCTCAAACTACAATATCCATTCAATGAGACTGGGGGGCAGGGGGGATGACAAAGCTGCTACATTATGAACAATCTGCAATAAGGCCCAGAGGAGAAAATATCAAAATATCACGACATGTTGCCTACAGCTCCAAGGTATCATTGATGATGTGCAAATCAGTCTGGATAATAGTGCATCTCTTGCACAGACCTTGGGTGGAAGGCATCTACTTATATTTGGCTACATACTGAGGCAGCAACTCTATACTGACTCTGGCAACACAAGTTAATATATTCGCAAAGGCCTTCACGGCCGGCATTTAATGGTTGTTGTGGGTTTTTCGGGCTCTCTGGCCATGTTCTGAAGGTTGTTCTTCCTGACGTTTCGCCAGTCTCTGTGGCCGGCATCTTCAGAGGACAGCACTCTGAAGACAGAGTTTCATCCTCAGAGTGCTGTCCTCTGAAGATGCTGGCCACAGAGACTGGCGAACTGTTAGGAAGAACAACCTTCAGAACACGGCCAAAGAGCCCAAAAAACCCACAACAACCATTGTTACAAGTTCTCTAACCACATTCATTAGGCATCCTTCAGTCTCGAAAGACTATGGTAACATGCTCTGTATGTAGGACTTGGAACAGCGTCTAGTGTGGCTGAGAAGGCCAATTCGAGAGTGCCAATCCCTTCCACATTGAAGACAAATCCAATCTGTCCCCTGTCCAGCTCCCTGATTTTGCTGCTTTCGTGACTGCCTCTTTGCCTCGGCCTGCTGGACAAGGGTCTCTTCAAAATGATAGAGGCCGTGATGCACCGCCTGCCTCCAGGCTGAACGCTCAGATGTCAAGGTTTCCCATCTGTTGAGGTCCATTCCTAAGGCCTTCAGATCCCGCTTGCAGATGTCCTTGTATCGCAGCTGTGGTCTCTCTTTGGGGCAATTTCCCTGCACTAATTCTCCATATAGGAGATCTTTTGGAATCCGCCCAGCCGTTCTCACGACATGCCCAAGTCAACGTAGACGTTGCTGTTTCAGTAATGGATATATGCTAAAAATTCCAGCTCGTTCTAGGACTACTCTATTTGGAACTTTGTCCTGCCAGGTGATACCAAAAATGTGTCGGAGGCAACACATATGGAACGTGTTCAGCTTCCTCTCCTGCCCTGCACAAAGGGTCCAGGACTCACTGCAGTACAGGAGTGTGCTCAGGACACAGGTTCTATAGACCTGGATCTTCGTATGTGTCGTCAGCTTCTTATTGAGCCATACTCTCTTTGTGAGTCTAGAGAACATGGGAGCTGCTTTCCCAATGCGTTTATTCAGCTCGACATCTAGAGAGAGTGTGTCAGAGATTGTTGAGCCAAGGTACACAAAGTCATGAACAACCTCCAGTTCTTGTGTGGAGATGGTCATAGAGGGAGGTGAGTCCACGCCCTGGCCCATGACTTGTGCTTTCTTCAGGCTGATTGTTAATCTCCACAGTTAGTCTCAGGCTGATTGTGGTTAGTCTCTAACCACAATGCTAGAAGTATGCTCACTTGTTCATCTTTCAATTTGATGCATGCAGGGTGGGTTTGATTTAAATCAGATTGATGTAAATCACGATTTAAATTTTAAAAACATGAGATCGACTGACTCAATAACAGAAGCTATCGTCTCTATACTGCAAGATCTGAGCACGGCCATTAATGAGAGAACCCTTTCGCAGCTCACTACTTCATAGGATGACTGTAACTCAGAAGCAGCCTGATGGGCTGCCTCAGAACTAGGTCCCCACTTTCTGGCACTCTTCCCTAAAACTGACACACCCATCATCACGCCCACACTTGATTGAAACGGAACAAACTAGTGGCTCCAAAAACAAATCACTCTGCTGCATCTCCGGGGGGGGGGGCTTGCACACTACAACCAGAGCTGATCTATGGAAATAACCACACACCCTCCACAGGGACCGCCGGGATCAAGGCTGGAGCAGCCACTGACCAAGAGGCACAACAGGCACCTCTCCTGAAGGTGAGGAAGGGAGGGAAATCCTCTCACTGCAGTCTCTGGGGATTTCAGGCAGTTCAGCACCACCGGGATCCCCACTGGCGCGAGAGGCTCCCGTGCCTGAGTGGCAGTTTCAGGAAGAAGAGGACCAGAAGGAGAACAGGCTAAAGACACACACACACCCCGCCCTCCCTCACATGTTCTTCCCAAGGCGGGCAGGCCCCCCTCCATCCTCCCGTGGTGCGCTTACAGCAGGACTTCGGGGGTGTAGCTCCAAAGAGTTCCCAGCCGGCAGGATGAAAACCCGGGGCTTATTATAGGCGAGAGTTGTGCGTGGGGGAATTCAAGTTGAAACGAAGCACGACGGCACGCCAGTACCTAAGCAAGCCCTAAGATCCTGCAGGGCCTCCCGCCCCCTCCCGGTCTAATGCCCGATTTGGGTGGCTTTCCAAACTGCGCCTCGCCAGAGGCCCCGGGCTCCCGATGCCGCCGCCGCCGCCGCACTCACTCACCCACCCACGTCCGCTTCCCCGCCGGGCCGGGCTTGGGCCGGAGGATCCTGCGCGCGTGGGATGAATGAATGAAAGGGGGACACCCCCTCCCCTCGCTTGACTCAACGAAACGGGCTGGAGGGGGGAAGCGAGGAAAACAGATGGGGGGACAACCCCCCTCCCCCAAACAAGCCAAGGACTCCCAGCCGAAGCCCCGGAAGCGGAAATGATTTCGGAGATGACGAAGGCAGAAAATCCCGTGGCGTCCGTGACGCGCGCGCACACCCCCTCCGCACGTAGCAAAGGGACAGAAAGTGAAGCCGAAAGAGACACCGGGGGAAGAGAAGAGCATGATCGAACGAAGGAATGACCCGCCGGGCTCGCTTTTGGACAGGGATGGATAAATACACTTTGGCTGGCCGGATGTTTTGGACTCTCCCAGATACTGTACTCGAACTAGCAGGTGCCGATGGCCAGGGATTGTGGGAATCGTAGTCTTTTTTTAAAAAAACCCTCGGAGGTCGCCTACTCTGCTTGGAAATGTAAAAGATGAGGCCTCCTCATTTCCCCTCGGGAATAAGCACGGTTGAATTAATACAGTGCTGGCGTCCGGGGAAGTGCGTATGGGATTGCAGCCTTCCTTTGCACGCTTGGGGGCAAACACGACATGCGCCTCATTCTTCGGAGGAACTAAGGCATTCATTCTTCTGCGTGGAACTTGGGGAGGCGAACGGACAAACCCGTTCCGTGGGATGGAGGCGTGTAAACGAGCGATCCGTGTGGGTGGCTGGTACAGGGTTGGGTTTTTAAGCCTTAAGAGGGCAAAACAGTGAGCGAAAGAAAGCCCTCGCGGGAAGAGGAAATGCACGTATCTGAGAGCCATTGCGGGTTTTTTTTTACACTTGTTTTGATCGCTGCAATACTCCACTGGAGTACGAAGGAGCTGGGTCATTGAGCCTCTCCTTGTAGGCTGTTTTTGCAATAATTATCTTAAGCCGACATGTCCTAACTTTACAACCTCCTCCTCCTTCGTGGCCTCTGTGTATCACATTAACGGGTTAATCTGCAATGGAGCAAAGCAATTTCGGAACTTTCACAGCTTTAAGCACTTAATGATGGGACCTCCCCTACACCTGCTGATATAACTCCTCCCCAGCACCCAGTGCCTCACTTCTTTTTTCGACCACCATTCTAGCAGCAGCTTCGTTCTGAAATTTGCAAATAAAAACAATTTTTATTGTTTTTATTTGCAGAAACAAAAGCCGGATACCTTGCAGCTGTAGACAGGTATATATTGGAATCACAAAATGCAGCATTCATACCAGAATCAAAGAACATGAGACACTGCAGACTAAAACAACTGGAAAAATCAGCAGTAGCTGAACATGCCCTAAAACAAGCTGGACATGAAATTCTATTTCAAAATACAGAAGTACTGGACAACACCAGATATCATTATGTTAGACTGCACAGGGAAGCCACTGAAATCCATAAACACCAGCAGAGCTTCAACAAAAAAGAGGAAAGTCTAAAACTTAACCAAGGCCTGGCTCCCAGCACTGAAAAATACAGCCTGCAAAACGTCAACAAACTCTACCCAGCCACAAGGACCAGGGATCATTACACAAAAAAGACCAGCTAAAGACACCCATCAATCACAGTGACATAATTCCTCCCCCTTATCACAACAATACATCCACAACAAAAACACGCTGATCACCGTCATCACCCTATCTTCTGAAACTGACAAAAGCTGTTCCCAGAGCTATAACGCTGTACTGCAGCTAAAACTCTGCTCACAACCTGGGGTTCAAATCTCAGGTAGCCGGCTCAAGGTTGGCTCAGCCTTCCATCCTTCTGAGGTCGGTAAAATGAGTACACAGCTTGCTGGGGGGGCAATGTGTAGCCTGTATAATTAAAAATTGTAAACTGCCCAGAGAGTGCTTGTAGCGCTATGGGGCGGTATATAAGTCCAATAAATAAATAAATTAATAATAAATACTCAACTATCCAACAAACAGCAACAGTGTATGGACAGAGTTCCTACTCCTGTCCTCTGAAGATGCTGGCCACAGAGACTGGCGAGACGTTAGGAAGAACAACTGTAGCGTTCTCCATTTATTAGATCTATGGCTCTTGTTGTATTATGTAATGGTTTATGAATATTCATGTTGCTGAGAGGCAGAGTCAAGAGAGATGCTATAAGAGGCGGGGTCAGAGAGTCAGAAGAAGATTAGGTGAGACTGAGTCAGTAAGAGGCAGGAGAGAAAAGACAGGCAGTGTAATAGTGTGTGTAATTTGGGAAAATTCTGAGGAATGATTAACTACTGAAAATATTCAAGAATCAATCTATGTAATCAATAAACCAAAGTTTTAGTTAAAAGAACTTGAAGTGTAGACCTGAATCTTTCTGAAGTAAATGGTTATTTAGAGATCACCCGGTGGCAGCAAGTGTAAAAGAAGAGAGTGTTTGCCTTCGTGTGCTCTGAGGCTTGAAGGTCAAGCAAAGGGACAAGAGGGTGGACATCACAACAACCTTCAGAACACAGCCAACGAGCCTGAAAAAAACCCAAAACAACCAAAAACAATTTTATTCCTTTCTCTGTTTTTGACATCTTGTTCTTTCTTCACTAACAAGTTGTTTCTTCTGCCTGGAAGAAGAGCACTAGCGATGTTCTTTGTAAAAGCTTTACAAAGCCAGCTTTAGAGCCCTCGGGGCTTTTCTCTTAGAGAAATAAGGTCTCTTTCTACCTTAGCAAGGTTAACCCCATGCTCAAGAGCAACAGCTATCCATCTGTTTGCAATATTCCTCTTTGTATCCGGAAAGAAGAGGACAGCATCTGGGCTTTGCCTTTGGAAAGGGCCCCCTGCAGCTCCTGCCACCATCCCCGTTTGTCAGTGATTCTCCTGACTGGGGTAAAGCCTCTGTGGAGGTTGGCGTGGAACAGCCCTCTTGCATCAAGGGGCTCGTTCATACAGCTCTGATTCCAGAGAGAGCCAGGTGCCAAGGCTGAAGATGTTCTGGCAACATGCAGCAAGCCTTGCCTTTGGGGAAAGAAGGGGTCCCCTGCCAGCCCTGCCTGTCAGTGATATGCCTGACTGGAGTAACACCTTTTAGTGGTTTGGCATAAAACAGCCCTCATTTATCAATGAGCTCGTTCAAACAGCTGCTATTTCCAAAATCAGCTAGGTGCCAAAGCAAGAGCTTTCTGGCAACATTTGGCAGCCCTAGCTTTGCCTTTAAAAAAGTTGGGGGGCTGCAGCTCCGACTGCTAGCCCTGCTAGTCAGTGATATTCCTGATGTTATTGTTGGTAGCCTGCTCAAGCTCTGGAAGGTGGCACGGTCATTTGCGGAGTAACAGCCACAAGTACGTGGTGATGTTTCCACCAGCCTAGGGCATCCCAGGAACGTCAAAGGCCTCAACCCCAAAGTTACCAGCTGCCATCCCCTAGACATGTGGGCAGGCAACACCCTGACTAACAAAACCGCAGGCAGGACCACAAAACCAAACAGTCTCTCTACTGCACTTGACTTCTCTGTCGTTGATCAATCAGTCCGTTTGGCCCCTCATCTTTCTAACTGGTGTTCCTTCACATCTAACATGTTGCTACTCTCTATCATAGCTACCAGCAATGCCACTGAATTCGATGTACCCCTGTCACAGGCCATGTTAAGGCCACCCTGACCCCTCCCCCACAAAAAAAGGATGGAGGCCTCTGGCCCATCCTTGATTTTGGAGGCCTGAATTCTTTTATTACTCTACGTAGACTCCATATGGCTTCCTTGGACTCTGTTATTAACATGTTACATCCAGGGAGTTGGTTTACCATGTACTGCCCTGGCTTCTGCACTTCCGTGACATCCCTCCTCCTGGTTAGTCAGTTTGCCAGTGACCCATTAGTGTGTATTCACAGAGGCCACAAAGGAGAAAGAAAAGTTACCTGTAATTTCAAGTGGTCCTCCATGAATTCACACGTACTCGCCCTCCTCCCCACTGTCAATCATGTGTGCCATGGCCTGCTGGGGAGCGGCAGTCGGTTCCTTAGAATTGAGGCATTGGGTGCCGGGGGGGGGCGGAGTTATATAGCCAGGTGTAGGGGAGGTCCCAGCACTAAGTGCTTAAAGCTGTGAACGTTTCCGAAGATGCTCTGCTTGAGTGCAGATTAACCCATTAGTGTGTATTCACAGAGGACCACTCAAAGAACCAGAGTTACAGGTAAGTAACTTTTTTTTAATGTGTTTAGTTAATAAATACAAGTACTTGATTCCTTGTGCCAGAGGATGACTCTTGAGAAAAACAACAGAAATGCTCTGGAGTGTAGTAAAGATGAAAGGATGGCAGATGCCTTTGAAGAGGAAGTCTATGATGAAGAACCTGCTGTTCTAGAAAATGAAGTGAACTGTTCTGAAAGCAGTAGGAAGAAATAAATCACCTGGGGTAGATGGAATACCAATAAAACTGTTTCAAGACACAGAGAATGAATATGTCAAAATGTTTAAAATATGCCAATAAATATGGAAAACAAAACTGGCTCACAGACTGGAAACACTCAATATACATTACAATCCCGAAGAAAGGAGATGCCAAAGAGTATAGTAACTACAGTGGTGCCTTGAGTTACGAACTTAAGCCATTCCGAAAGATGGTCGTAACTCAAAGCACCATTTCCCATAGGAATACATTGAAACCCCATTAATCCATTCTGGCTGGGGAGGAAAACCCACTGAAAAACAAAAAACACTTCAAGACCCATTGGAAACGCAATTGATCTGTTCTTGCCAGGGGAAAAACAGAGAGAAAAGCAAACAAAGACTGCAAGACCCTTCACAGCCATTCCGAAAGATGGTCGTAACTCAAAGCACCATTTCCCATAGGAATACATTGAAACCCCATTAATCCATTCTGGCTGGGGAGGAAAACCCACTGAAAAACAAAAAACACTTCAAGACCCATTGGAAACGCAATTGATCTGTTCTTGCCAGGGGAAAAACAGAGAGAAAAGCAAACAAAGACTGCAAGACCCTTCACAGCACAGTAACATAACTCTGCAGCCCAAACCCACACTGCAAAACCCTGTGCAGTACTTACTCAGAACAGGCATTTTAAAAAGCAGAAAGCAGGACCAGGCAGTCTGAAGCCTCCTTCAATCTCCAACCGCTGGCCAAAAGAGCTACAGAGAAGCAGCCTCTTCA